ATTTTGACGACGCCCAAATTCTTTTTCTTCTTGGGTCGAACCACAAAAGACATATCAAATTTCTCTGACACTGCAGTAAGATCGTTGATTACCTCCAAGATTGTAGTAAGATCGTTGATTACCTCCAAGATTTTAGTGAGGAGGCAGTCCCTTTCTAATTCCACCAAAAATTGGTCCTATGACTCGACTTCTTCCTGGAAAAGTGATTCCATGAAAGCTTGGTCCTCTAGCTCTGAATCGACATCTTGGTCATTTGACTCTGGATCCACTTCTTTCTTGAAAAAATGTTTCAAGAAACTTTCTTTCTCGGCTTTCTTGGAAGCGAAAGCATTGTCCATGGAAGCGGAAGCGGAAGCCTTGGAAGCTGATGCGTCTTTTAGTTTTGATTCTTTGACCTTGTTGTCAATAACCTAAAGCCCATTGAGGAACTTCTATACCAACCCATTGGAATTATAATTAGGATTTTCTGAAAGCTACTCGTGTTTCTTCCAGCCGAAAGAAAATTAGACCAGCATGTTAGTTAGAATATGCAGCACTCAAAAACTCACAAATTGAAAATGGCACAAATATATCAAATATTAGTTTGAAACAAAGAAAAAAAAAGATAGAACTAGTAACATAAAGCCAATGTCATATGCTACAAAGTTTCAACTTTACCTCATTGTCATTTGTTGTGTGGGGTAGTATACGGATTTGGACCCTTGCCTCATAGGCAGTGACGGACCCAGGAATCTTATCTCATAGGGTCATAGTGTAAAAGTTCAATTTTTTTTTTAAAGATTAAAATAACATTGAAAATGAAACTATAGTACATTCATTCATAATTCATGTCAAAAACAACATTACAAATTACAATTGGCCACGACGAGGTTTCATATTTTGAAAACGTAGCATTATAGCTTCATTTTCAATACAATAAAAAATATCCTTCTCAATGTAAACAAGTAAGCTATCACTCAACCATTGATCTCCCATTTTGTTCTGAAGTGGACCCTTGATAATATTCATGAGAAAAAATGCCATTTTGGCTGAAGCAGTTGCAACCAGTAAAACTAAAGCCAATGTAATAAGCAAATACACATAATTGAATGCTCGATGCATCCTTGTCTCCACCATTGTTTTTGCAAGACCACCAATCCTTTGCAATTCAGAGAAATTACTACTCGAACGCACATAATGAATATAAAGCTCAAGTTGATCTTCAAGTGCCAAAAGATCCCCATCCGAAAAGTCTTGAGGATAAAATTGAGCAAGACGAAGTAGCTTTTGTTTATCAAAAGCGACAAATGAATCATTTGGACTCAAACATGCCAAACAAATAAGCAACTCAGTATTTACCTCATTAAAACGATCATCTAACTTCGTAAGTTGCTCATCAATGACATAAATAAAGAGATCCACACGATAATGATGACGATTTGTCTTTATAGGAGCATTACGCCTTGACCTCCCTGAAAGTACGAATGCCTCATCCATGTTAGGAACATCAATATGATGTTTGTCACAAAATGAAGATACCTCATCAACCAATACATCAAACCCATTATTCCTCATCTAATGTAGTTTTTCCTTGCATGATTTCACTAAAGTCATTGCATTCACAATTTCTTGATCTTTCTTTTGCAATGCTTGTGACATATCATTTGTGAGTCACAATATAGCTTTAATTAAGAATAGGTGAAACACAAACTCAAAAGTAAACATTTCTCTTTGAATCTTATTTGCTTCACCAGCACTATCATTGAGATTATCATCAATAATCATTTGAAGCACATGAATCATAAATGAAAACATAGAAATGATGCTAATAATGGTACCGTAATGTGAGTTCCATCGTGTGTTACCGGCACATTTGAGACTTGTTTCTTGATGCAAACCTCGCCTCGTTATAAGACAATCATTTTCAAAAGCTATCACAAGCTTTTCTTGGAGTTGCGCTCTAAGTGCATCACGCCGCTTATAAGATGCTCCAACATGGTTAATTGTGAAGAAAGAGGCAATATCAATATTATTCTTTGCTACGACAACAAGTGCTAATTGAAGTTGATGAGCAAAATACTGAACATAATATGCACAAGGTTGTTCTCTCAACATCTTTGTTTTAAGGCCATTCAACTCACCTCTCATATTGCTAGCTCCAGCATAACCTTGTCCTCGTACCTTGGAAAAGCTCAAACCATTGGAAGAAAAGAATGTGTCAATGGCATCCTTTAGTGAACTTGAAGTGGTGTCGGTAACATGTTGAACCCCCACAAACCTTTCAATTACATGCCCTTTGTCGTCCACATAACGCAACACCATAGCCATTTGCTCTTTCACTGAAACATCACGTGCTTCATCCACCAATATAGAAAAGAATCTATCTTTTAAACTACTCATAATAACATCAAGTATTTCAAAGGCACATGCATTTACAATATCTTTTTGAATCTTTGGAGCTACTAACTTGAGATTCCTCGGAGCATTTTTCAACACAACTTCTTTAACTTTCTCATCATTGTCTTCAAGGAATTGCAATAGCTCCAAGTAATTTCTCCTATTACTTGAAGTGGCACTTTCATCATTTCCACGAAAAGAAAGACCTTGTCGCAACATAAACTTAGTGCACTTGATTGATGCAATTAAGCATCTTCGATATGCCATACGAGCTTGTTCAGAGTGTTTTCTCACAGCCATTTCAATATGTGTATTTTGATTCATCTCATTTGTAGCAGCTTCTCTAGCTTTATTATGAACACTACCAACCGGTCCAACATGCACCTTCATTCTTTCTCTCCCTTTCTTCCAATTCTTAAACCCTGCTCCAGTGAATGCTTCACTACCCACTTGTTCAAAATTGGATTTAAAGAGATAGCAATAAAGACAAAATGCAGCATCTTTAGATACACTCTAATCCAACCAATCAAATTCATCAAACCATTGGGGAATGAAGCATCGATTAATTCCTGATATATTACTTTGTAGGAAAGAATGGCCTCTAGGTTGACAAGGTCTTTTTTGTAGATATGCTCTTCAAACCTCATCTCTAATATTAGTATCATACTCAATCATACGAATTCTTAGTCCAGGGTCTGCCTGAAGACTAGCCAAAACTGCATCTAACTCACTTTATCTTAAACTTGAAGTTCTTGAACTACCCACATTATCCGAACTAACCAATGATGACTTTCTCTTAAATTTTTTTTCCATAATTCTACATAAATTAATCAAAATAATAACTAAAATCAATTAAAGAGAACACCAAATTTATACCAATTAACCACAAAACATTCATAAATGAAACATCCAATAAATCAAAACAATATAATACAATCATAAATTCAATTTCAATTCAAGTAATTTAGGTTTAGAGTTAGAATTTACTTGACTTGTGAGGTGGTTGAAGCGGAGGCAAGCCTTTGGTGGCGGCGACTCTGCTGGAAGCGGCGGCAATGGAGGAGCTGGGGCTTAAAGATTTGGTGGGGGAGGGGGTTAAAGGTTTAGAAGGGGAGGGGGGGTGGTTGGAGATTGGGGATTTAGGGTTGAGGAGAAAAGAATGGGGGTTTTGGAGATGCTGAAGTTGGGTGAAGGGGTTTTGAATTAGTTTGAATTTTTTTTTTTTTATAAACCTAGACCAAAACGACGTCGTTTTGGCCAGTGTTTAAATAAAAAATAAAAAAAAGCACGCTAGGCAGCTTCCTCACACTAGCAACCCTCTCCTTCAGTCATTCATGGGGTCACATAGTCAAGTAAAATGGACCTTCTAGCTTGTTTTCATGAAGTCTAGAGGGTTGTTTGACCCCATTGACCTCACTGTGGGTCCGTCCCTGCTCATAGGTCACTCATTTCGACGTCATATTCATAAGTTTTCTGGAAACAATTTGTCATGAGTTTGAGAAAACAAACTTGACAATCCAATGTTTTGACAGCGTCCAAAATCTTTTTCTTTTTGGCTTAAACCACAAAAGACACATCAGATTTCTCTGTCACTACAGTAAGATCATTGATTACCTCCAAGATTGCAATAAGATTGTTGATTACCTCAAAGATTTCAATGAGGCGGCGATCCCTTTCTAATTCCACTGCAAATTGGTCATTTGGCTCGACTTCTTCCTGGAAAAGTTGTTCTATGAAAGCTTAGTCCTGTGGCTCTGGACCGACATGTTGGTCATCTAGCTCTAAATCCACTTCTTTCTCGACATTCTTGGAAGCGAAAGCGTTGTCCATGGAAGCGGAAGGGTCATCCTTGAAAGCGGAAGCGAAAGCGTCGTCTTTGGAAGCGGAAGCGTAAAGCGTCGTCCTTGGAAGAGGAAGCAGAAGCTTCGTCATTGGAAGTGGCAGCCTTGGAAGCTGATGCGTCTTTTAGTTATGATTCTCTGACCTTGCTGTCAATAACCTTGAGCCCATTGAGAAACTTCTGTACCAACCCATTGGAATTAGAATTAGGATTTTCTAAAAGCTACTCGTTTTTCTTCCAACCGAATGAAAATTAGGCCAGCATGTTAGTTGGAATATGCAGCACTCAAAAACTCACAAATTGAAAATGGCACAAATATATCAAATATTAGTTTGAGAAAGAGAAAAAAAGATAGAACTAGTTCGAACATAAAGCCAATGTCATATGCTACAAAGTTCCAACTTTGCCTCATTATCATTTGTTGTGCCGCATACAGACTTGGTCCCTTGCCCCATAGGTCACTCATTTTGACGTCCAATTCATAAGTTTTCTGGAAACAATTCATCAGTAGTTTTCTGGCTCAACTTCTTCCTAGAAAATTGGTTCCATGAAAGCTTGGTCATCTGGCTCTGGATTGGCGTCTTGGTCCTCTAACTCTAGATCCACTTCTTTCTTGAAAAAATGTTTCAAGAAATGTTCTTTCTCGGCTTTCTTGGAAGTGGAAGTGTCGTCCTTGGAAGCGGAAGCAGAAGTGTAGTTCATAGAAGCGGAAGAGGAAGCGGAAGCGTGGTCCTTGGAAGCGGAAGACTTGGAAGCTGATGCGTCTTTCAGTTATGATTCTCTAACCTTGCTATCAATAACCTTGAGCCCAATGAGGAACTTTTGTGCCAACTCATTGGAATTGGAATTAGGATTTTCTGAAAGCTACT